TAGGGTATTCAAGTTGCTGACCATTCGGCATGAAGATCGGAATCCTTACCCAAGTTTATTCGATAGCAGTTTTCGAAGCCTTTTAGGATGGATTTGAAGGTGATTAGTCTTAGAGGGGTCAGGTTATTATTCAAAATGCCGTATGCTAATATAAGATCAACTCTCATTCTACGACTAAATAGGGGGGATAAATTTAATCGTCTCAGTCACTTTTCACATGAAACGTTGGAATGTTCTCATACCTGCTTAGCCCTTGCACTTCAAACACTCAAGAGCATCTAAATTTTTACTTAAATGAAATAACCACTTCAATACATTGCTTCATATGGGGTTTTACGAAGGTGCCATATAAATATTTGGAAGATTTCTTTGTCAAAGCATTTGAATGTCATGTAAATTGGCCATAACAAACCAGACTCATCAGCTGCTGCGTTGTAGTACACAGTTGTTGACAAATTGTGACTTATAACTGAACCTTAATCTTATTTTTCGTTTCATCATATAGCAACAGTGATGTACTGATGACAAATTAAAATGTCCGAACTGTATTAATGCATTTTGTTGGAATGTACATATAGGTAAGGAACCAAATTGAATTACTTCTGGTAGCAGTAACCACTATGAAACAGTTACAATGTCCGATAGAGTTGGCTTGTTTAAAAGGTTATTTCTATATCTCCGTATAGGACTTAAGTAGGTAAACTTCTAGAAGATCCAGACGTTTCTAATTTCCTGTTCACTGTATATTGAAACTTTTTTAAAGAGTTGTTACAGTAGCTTATTGTAATAAATATACTGTGTTATAGTAGGTTTTTATGTCACCGGTTTTAAGATAGGTTATTATGATTCTTCTGTATTGTAGTGGACGAGGTTAACGAACCGTATTTATTAACGGGTGTAGAAAATATTCCTACGATTGATGTAGCTCCAAAATGAAATCGCTCAGATTTAATTTATACATTTTAAAGACCCACCAAAAGTAAACAACCAGATCAAAACCGCAACGTTATGTTCCAACTAGCAATTCAGTGCTGTTGCATGCAATTGTCTGACCAAAGCCATAATATATGTCCTTCAAGAGTTCATTTAGATAGTAGTGATTATGAAATGAAACTACAACCCTGCTAGAATAAGCCTTTTTCTCTTGACTGTGGTTAGAGATGAAAGGTATTCATAAATTTTCAAGACAACAATTATGAAATAAAAATTTGACGCACATCGTAGACCTTTTGATAGAACTATTTTTGACTAATCTGCCCCCAAATGCCCTGGTATGGCCGAGAGTGGGGTGGGCCCACCTTCCCTCTCGAAATGCTCTCACGAGTACACAGCCTGTGCCAGGGAAGTCCTACTCACTACCTTCTCGTGGCGGGGGTGTTGTTTACGAAATTGAGAGGACGAAAAGTAAATGTCCGGCGCTTTAACCGGATCCCAAACCAAATCAATGGTGCACATGGGCTCCAGTATCCTGAGGGAACAAATGGCGTATGAACCAATTGTTGGTCACTGGCTACCATGGGACTGCATCTCCGCACGATGCTCCACTGTCTTGTGGGTTAGACCTTTAGGTCAAAGGTTCATTGTGTGGCCCCCTAAGAAAACCACCTAGTTCGATCTGGGCACCCGGAAAGTACCACAACCCACACACACACAAATATGGTGTGGCGCATATATATTTGGTGCCCTCTTGTACCAATATTTATGTGTTGAAATAAATAAATAAAAATAAATAGCCTCATGTCGTATAAAAGTAACTTACGGTTTTGCCACGTAAGGATATCATCAATCAATGGAAATAATCTTGAATCTCAAATTCGTAAATAATCACATTGTTCAGCTCTCAAAGAGAGAAACTAGGGAGTAGTTATAACCGTACGTTGAAGAATGAAATAAAACGTTTAAATAAAAGACCATAGAATGGATTATTTACACTCAAACTACTTTTTAGTAGTTAGTAGTACAAAATATGGAAAACAGTAGAAGAAAATATGCGTTTCAGAAATCACAGATGCGTACGATTTTTTGAAATCCAAACGATCGAAATCGTTAACTTATAACTTATCTTGGTTAACAAATGATTTTAGTATCTACATATATTTAAGCATTTAGAAACTCTAACTGAAAATATGTCTACTCTTATATGAGTCTTTTGGAAAACAAATAAGAACAGTTATCAAACATATTTTACGGAGATCGTTTCATTGGGTGTGGATCACCGGTTTCATCCACACTATCTGTAGTCTGTGAGATATATGTTTAACGGATGATTGCTTCTACTTGACTGACTGGTCAAGGGAAGTCCAAATGATTTGTCCAGACATAATAAATTGGTTTACATTGGCGATAAGTTAAAATCCAATCTGACAGGATAACATACTCAGTAGATATGATCAACACTTCATATCTGTTATAATTCTGCATTCTGTTAACAATGATATGTGACTAAACGACTGAGTGAGCACTTGATACTCATCAACAAGAATTATTTGCAGTAATAAAAGAGGTGATGATACTTCAGAAATCTTGTTCATCACCATCCAACTGAGGTAGATACCTGTCTCTAGCTTTCTCATTAGAACTCCGGGAAATGTGTCACGAAGCTAGTCAGTAGTGAGTACATGGCAATTATCAGTATAGGGTTGTGGAGATGATTAAGTTTTTGATTCAGATTTATTTTAACACATAGATATTGGTACAAGGAGGCACCAAATAAATATGCGCCATATAAATCATTCTATTTATGTGAAGGCTGCTATAATGCCCGCACACTCAAACAGAAACATGCGGTTTTTTTAGGGAGCTACACCCAGAGCCTTCGACCTATAAGACATTCACAAGGCAGTGGAATAACGTTAGGCGATACAATCCCATGGTAGTCGTTAGCTAACAATAGGTTCATACACCATTTGTTTCCTTAGGATTCTGGAGTTCATGTGCACCATTGTTTTGGAATCAGGGTTTTCCAACTCCTCTACGTGAATTCTCCGTGTCTACCAACCCGGTTAAAGTGCTTTACATTTGCTTTTTGTCCTCTCAATTTCGTAAATCGCGAGAAAGCATTGAATAGGACTTCCCAGAAAGTGTATACACATGATCATGTTAAGGCATTTTAAGACAGGGAGAGAGCTGACTCTTACCACTCTCGACCATACCAGTGAATTTGGTAGCAATAAATCGCTTAAGAAATACAATTACCAAATAAAAACAAACTAAACTTCTATTATTGAAATCTATTTATTTCAGAAATTCTTTTATTGTTCTCTATTATAAAGATAATAAAATAGGAATTCACTTCAATTCATTTAACTTCATTCATTCAATAGATTATGTTATATAGAAAAGAATACCATGTTGAATTATTATTCAATAGTCAATACATGAAATTCATTTCATTGTTAGTTGATCATCTTATTCTAATTATAACAACTTAGAAGATTTTGGGATTAGTATAAGCATTGAAAATAGAATGTTTTTAGAAGAAAACAATATGATAGTGTTATATCCCGTTAAGTATAATGAATGGTAACTTTTGGTTGCCCATTTATGGACCAGTACTATGTGTATATTTTGTATTGTATAATTGTTAAGTAACTAAACTGTTCATATTCATGTCGGTCTTATTATAAGCTTTAATTAGACCCATGAACCATTACTATACGATTTACCATTCTTGAGTTATGACCTATTTATCAACTACTATCTCCCTGATTCACAGCGACATTTGGCTAAGTCTTGTACAAATGTTGTTTCATATTTTATTGGTACGTTGTGGTCTACTTGGTTGGTATATAAACAGAGTATGTTTGAAATATATGATTCATATCGCAGAGGCTCGTAGTGGTGTTCTGGACTTAACTGGCTGGGCTAGGCGGAAAGCAGGACCAATCAGAGCTCTAGGCTGTTCGCACTTGCTTTACGCGTCCTTGATACGATCGATAATTCACTGCTCTCTAATCGGCGGTCAACAAGTCATAACAATTGGCGATGGGGTATAAAAAAATTACGATCCAAAGTCAGCCTGTAATTGGACGAAATTCATTCTAATTATTTCGAGTAATCAGTATCCAGATTTGTCATCAGTGTCTTTGAACGACATTGGTCATTATTCATACAGTAATTTTCATTACCAGTGCTGATTGAAAAAAAAAGAATCTCCCTTGCGATCAATTACAGCTGCTATTTGAGTGATAGTTGAAGTTCTTAGTCTAATTACGCACGCAGCTGCTGAATCACTGATGCTTTACAGATGCGACGGAAGTGGATGGATTAATTTCTCAATTGCACACTGAGCTGGAAAATGATTGCAGCCTCCATCAATCCTCGACAAACCGTATTTCAAACGATACAGCAGTCCTTCAAGATCCTCCCAGTGGTCCAGTACTCTCCATTTCAGAAACATGCACAGTAACTGATTCAAACTCCACTATCCTCGAAACAGCATATGCAGAGAGTGACTTATCAAGCTCAAAAAGATGGTTAAGGATGCATAGATTAAAATTATGTCTAGATAATGATGTCTTTCCTTCTTCTCTCTTTATTTATCACATCACAATCTGTATTTAAATATGCTCGCTAATAAGTCTTATCTATAACTTAAAAACTTTGTCCAATATTGATTAAAACTGATGATCGTAGTCACCACAAATCAATATCTGAGGATCAATGCACATTTCAACAGAAAGTTAAGTATCAGATTACACCTCAATGATTATAATTAAGCACTCCTGTAACGAGATATCTAGAATAGCCTAAAGAAAAGCTATTCCCTATCCCATTGAAAGTGTGGTATGTTGGGATCTATTTATAGATTAGTACTATACATCTATTTTGTATTGTATAATTGTTAAGTAACTAAACTACTCGTATTCGTGTTCCACTCATTATAAGCTTTATTTTGACTTATAATCTATTATTATACAATCTACCATTCTTGAGTTATGCCTAGTCTTTCAATTACAATCTCTCACATTCACAGGCACATTTGACTAAATCTTGTACAAATGTTGTTTCCTATTTTATGGTATGATATAATCTGTTTAGTTGCTATATAAATCCAGTATGTTTGAAATATACGATTTAAACCGTGGAGACTGAGATTTGTGTTCTAGACTGTAACAGGTAGGTCTAGATGGGAAGAAAGACCTTCATTGATCCGATCGATAATTCACTGCTCCCTAATTGACGATATTGTTAAATTATACATGAATAGATCACATAGGTCACAAGTTATAACCGATATTTTACGTATACAAGATAAATTTATATTATGACAAGTGAAAAGAAAGAATATCACAGTAAATAGAGGTCTTCTTGAATGTTATAATGTTAGTAACAATAATAATAATAATAATAGCAATAGTAAAGACATAAGGTGGTTATAAGTATCAATCAATCAATCAATCAATCATCAGCTACAACACAGGACCAGGCATTGGTTCAACTTACTACACCTTATCATCACAACAAGATGAATACTGAATTGATCGAAGTAGTTCATTCAATGATGGTTATAGATATATAGATGTAGATCTAAGAATATTGTCCATGTTTCCATTCGAATTAAATATGTTTTATTATAATAAGATATTACTTTAATGTAATTTATGTTTTATAATCCACCATCTTATGAATAACATATAATATCTAAGAAATGAATTTGGTATAAAACTATTTATATAAGCTTGAATAGCATGCCCTATATAACCGAATGTTTCTTGTTCAACACCTAACATATTTAATGCATGTTGAACATAAATTTTTGCATCAGGAATCAATGATAACATTTTACAATAACTGATCATTTTAGTCGATACAAACATTGGACAAACTGTTTGTATATGAATACGATGATCATAGTTCTCATTTGAAATGGATCTAGATAATTGATTTACAAATGCTTTTGTTGCTGAATATAATGATAAAAATGGAAATGGTCTATAACCAGAATGTGATCCAATATTAATGATAGCCATCCCATTTGTAGGTTGTTTTAACATTTTCGGTAATACTATATGGGTCATTATAGCAATAGGTAAAGTATTACAAAAAACGATGTTTTTAATAAAATTTATAGACATGTAATCGGTTGTTGCGTAATAATCTAATTTAGGCAGACCCATACCAACATTATTAACTAAACAAGCAATTGATGATAATTGATCTATAGCTTCTTGTATTCTTTGATAGACATCAGTCTGTGTTAAAGAAAAGAACAAAACGTGAATGGATGAATATATATATGGAAGGTTTTAGAAGATTTAGTTTTTTTCTCATTTAAAACTTAGAGAAAACTGGACAAATATAACATAAAAATATGAGGGTATTTCATAGAGTTTTGTTCTTTGAGCTGAATGGTTTAGTCGTGGAACTTTCATTGATCTTCTCAACGACATCATCAGCATATTAGCTGTATGTATCCAATTTTCTGCCAATTATGTAAATGAGAGCTATAACACTTTCATGGTGAACATATATTGTTAAAGGACTAGATTGATCTATAACTGCTCCATTTCACTCAATTAATGATAGGACATTTTACGGACTGTACACTAACAATCCCATTAACAATCGAAACTGGGACATTTATATTTTAAATGGAATTTATGACGTTTAAGTTAGTTAACAGGGTCCAAATGACTGATTAGTTACAATTTCATTGAATCATATTATCACTTAAAGGTTTAACTCATTTCCTATATGTCAAGTTAGTTTAGATTTTGTTTTCATTCTCTTTTCACTCAAATGAATTTATTGTGTTGTTAATACTACTTGTGGATATTCAGTAAGCAAGTGCATTAAAAAAAAACTTTTGAACGTATAGTATCACATACGTTTATTTGTTTCTAGCTTACTTACTTACTTACAACTGTTACTCCCAATGGAACATAGGCCGCTGACCAGCATTCTCCAACCCATTCTGTCTTGGGCCTTCCTTTCCAGTTTTATTCAATTTTTGTTCATTTTTCTCATGTCTGTCTCCATTTCTCGGTGTAATGTGTTCTTTGATCTTTCTCTCCTACTTTGGCCTTCAGGATTCCATATGAGAGCTTACCTTGTAACGCAGTTGTGTGCTTTCCTCGATTTCTGTCCTATCGACTTCCAATGCTTCTTCCTGATTTCTTTCTTCGCTGGGATCTGGTTTTTTCTCTTCTACAGTAGATTGTTGCTCATAGTGTCTATGTCTGGTCAACGGATCGGAAGTATTCTACATAGACAACTGTTAATAAACACTTGTATCTTCTGGATGATGGCTTTCGTAGTTCTCTAAGTTTTCGCTCCATATAGTAGAACTTTCTTGATATTTGTATTGAAAATTCTGACTTTGGTGTTGACAGTTGTCAATTGTTTTCAATTCGAGATATTCTTCAATAGTAGATATTCTGCTCTTGTTTAATCAATCCGCGCCTTCATATCTACATCAAATCTATCGTGTTCGCCAGTGATGCTGCCCAGATATTTAAATGTTTTTACATCTTCCAGAGCTTCTCTGTGATTTGTTCTTAGGTATTCACATTAACTAACAAACCTCACTCTATTTATTACTTTAAATACATTCTCTCATCTACCGAAACAGCTATTGCCATTTTTTTTGCATTCCTTGAATCTTTATTTAAAAGCAATATCATTCATGTGTTTTTGTACTCTTAGTCTTCATTTGACTGCTGATAGTCATCATTGACTTTAGGCACATCTACTGGCTATCATTTACGTTATCGTATATTGTAATTATTCTCTATCCAATTATTATAAGAAGCCTGTTTCACTCTAATACATATATATGAACGAGTTAATTGCTGCAAATATCTAACAAGATGAGTTACACAACTTGTTTATCTATACTTCGTAATAATCGAATCGTTATAAGTCTTGCTGATTGAACGCTATATTCGTCTCCTAAGTTATTCTGTAACCCCCAAGCTAGAACTATACAGCGACCTGAACACCAGAGAGAATACGCAATGTATGCGAGAAGTACTTTAACTCCAAGGTTCATTTCAGAACAGAAAATACAGAGTTTTTATAATATTTTAAATGTTCTTGGGTTGCTAGAAGTTTCCGGAATGCTACTAAACATAGTAGCAGTGTAGCAATCAGCTAATCAGAACATCTGCATGTGAAGTTTCGCCCTCTTGATATTTTTGGCTAAAACTTCAAGTGAACGCTGATTGGAGGAAACGCTTCTTAGTGTTTCCTGATGCTTGCTTGTCTTTTGCGAGAAATTTGGCGGATCACCCCGACAAATCGTTCTTTAGATAAATAGTTAATTTGAATATTGATTTTAAGCGCTGAGTGGTTGGACGCTTCGAAAGATTTAACCATATACATAATCTTAACACACATTAATCTTAGTAGCGATTTTGCATGATTTTATTCAGTTGGAATGAGGTATTTATCTTATTCTAACTAATTCTGTTTTGCTTTTATGGCCCGCTAGTTATCCCGTAATTTATTCACCAATCAAAATACGACTTATTCGCACTTATACTGTACTAAACCAATGACTTTTGTTCAGTCTGGTGAGCGTAGCGTCTAGCCCGTCCAGCTGAGTCCAGAACGCCAACAATAGCTTCCACTATGTGAATCATTAATTTCAAACCTACTTGATTTATATACCAAACAAACAGACCGCAACGCACCATAAAATAGGAAATAACATTCATACACAATAAAGCCAAAATGTGGCTGTGAATGTGGGAGACTGTAATGACTTGACTGGGTATAACTCAAGAACGGTAAATCGCATCATAATAATCTATGGGTCAAAATGAAGCTAATAATAAGAGGAATATAGATATACACAATCTAGTTACTGGATAGTCATACCATAAGAATGTATAGATAATATTAGCCAATTTACATATCTCAGAAGTTACTCGTAATGTAATCTTCACTAGGATACAACAAATTCCTTCTTTATGCACTATGAAATCTTTTTTTATACATTACCACCACTGAATTAACTACTGCTACGAATCCAGTGTACATCTTGCTGTACTAATGAGGTATGACAACTTGGACCGATGCATGTATGTGCCTGGTCCTACATTGTTGCAGATTGACTGACTGATTGATACCTTATTCCAGCCAATAACGATTTCATCTTACATAACAAATGTCTTAACAATTATAACAATAAACCTGAAGATTTTCAATGTCAATTACATAGAAGAGGTGATTGATAGAAAACCATAAATCTATGTTTGTATTAATTAGTACTTATCAACAAAGAATACCTGAGAACTTAAAACAACTTGAATACATTTCACCCGATTTTACAATTTGGTGCATTATCATCACTGATCTACTCAGATGACGATTAACCACCTGAAGGAGTGAGATAGTTTTTAAAAAAATACTTTATTGACCAGAGATCTCAACATATTGCTTGTCATTTCGAATCAATTTAACTAGTGACAACAGTATGAAATCATCTATGGAATTTGATGTAACAAACATGACACTTTAGATTACTCACTGCCCAGTAACAAATATGTCATTTACAATTAAAATCTAACTAACTAGTATAGGGGTTGTGGAGATAATTAAGTTTTTGATTGAGATCATGAACCGAGTGATGTTAGACCATCACAATTGAAAACCTGGGAGCACTGGGCGGCCGTTTCGTCCTGTTGTGGGACTCCTCAGCAGTGCCGGCTCAGTGGTCCAGTTGATTAAGCGTTCGAGCGCGAGACCGAAGGCCCTGGGTTCGAATCCCGCAAGCGGGATCGTGGATACGCATTGCTGGGGAGTCCCACAATAGGACGAAACGGCCGTCCAGTGCTTCCAGGTTTTCAATTGTGATGGTCTAACATCAATCGGTTCATGATCTCAATCAAAAATCCAACTATCGATTAAAAGGTAATATTTATATACATATATACACTTACACTTGTAAAATCAGCTGTTACTATTCTTGTCTCAACATGATAATTTCGTCCAATCTCATCAGCAATACTTAAAAGTTTCTCTTCATTTCTACTAATCAACATAATTTTTAAACCATCATTAGCTAATTCTTCTGCATATACTTTACCAATTCCATCTGTTGCACCAGTGACAATTGCCCATTCACCAGCTTGTTTTAATAATTTCCTTTTAGAGAATAATCTCTTCCCAATTGTATAAATGAATATGATGTATAGAAGAGAGATGAGTTGTTTCATTAGAAATAAACCAAATATAACACGAATGAGATAGATCCAATCCATCTAGAAAATGGAAAATTAGACAATTGATAACTTGAAGATGTTAACCTATTCAATGATTTAACTTAAAATACATTTTCATTATGAACTGATATCAGTCAGAGACTATAAAGTACTGAAAGCCTATAGTAAGTGCAATTGTAGCTTATATGAATTTTTTTTGTAAAATAAAAGATAGTACATGCAAAGATGGATAGTGGCTAGCATTAGAATCTAGGATCCGTGCCGGTTCGTCCTATTTGGGACTCGTCACTGCTTAACGACAACATGTAGAAGGTAAAAAGAAAATTAAAGAAACCTTGGAATTTATGGAAATTCTTCCATTTAACCTAATCGTTGGTATTGAGCAGTTTTCAATTTAGTTGTATAAATTTATCATTATAATCAAACGTTCAACTTGTTATTGATTTGATGATATAGACTGTTAAAGATTGTCAAACTAGTATAAAACAACAATTCTTCTTCATCTTCGTCTTCTGATATGGTGCAAAAGTTTGTATTGATGATGCCGTTCAGAAAGACGATGAAAGCTCCATACTTAACTATCCAGTTCTGAGAAAAAATTTCATTAAAATCTTCTTCATCATAGCCTTTACATTATACATGTATATGTCATCACCATAACTTTTAATTTCTTAGTGATAACGGTAATCATGAAATCGTTTCGATCATTTACTCATCACTTCAACTGATGATGATGATGATGATGATGATGATAAGAAGGAGGAGGAGGAGGAGAAGGGGATCAGAAATGCCAATTGTATTCGCTAACCTTTGCTACTCGTAAATGTACACATCTTCAATAATGTATTATTATACTATATACAATAATAATTATACTAATTCCATATCATATTGAATAGGTTTTTTTGTTACCATAACAACTGACCATTATGAATAACTTACTTAATAATATTAATAACTTCTTGTAATAAATAATTTATATTCCATTAGTAGACATGTTCTCATTCATATTAATAAGTGTTGGCATTGTCATATTCAATCATATGATTAATGATTGAATCTAATCAATAAAATAGATGAACTTGTATTTGTTGGCATCATTCATTGATGATCAACGTGATGTATATATCCATGATGAATGAAGGAATGAATGAATGAATGGAAGTATTATGTGCATAAATGACACGATTTATCATTGAATTCAATTGTGTACATATATATATTTGTTCATTAAGCAAAATTGATAAGATCTAATATGATTTAATTAGATAATGATTGATAATAAGTGGATAAGAAATATCGACTGAAATTAATCCGTTTTATTGAGTTTTATCAGTATAAGATTGTGGAGATGATTAAGTTTTTGATTGAGATCATGAACTGATTGATGTTTGATCATCACTGAAAACCTGAGAGCAATGGACAGCCGTTTCGTCCTATTGTGAGACTTCTCAGCAGTGCGCATCCACGATCTCGCTTGCGGGATCCGAACCCAGGGCCTTCAGTCTCGCCCGTAAACGCTTAACCTCTAGACTACTAAGTCAGCATCTAATGGTGTTAATGTCTAACCTCAACCAATCCACGAAATCACTCCACCATCTTTCATTGTACTGAGGTAGATACCTGTCTCTACAGAGATTAGCTCCACTGGTTAAGGTTTCTCACTAGAACTCCGGGAAATGTTTCACGAAGCTAGCCACTAGTGAGGACATGGCAATTATCAGTATAGGGTTGTGGAGATTATTCAGTTTTTGATTGAGATAATGAACCGATTGATGTTACTTATTTATTGAGTTTTGTTTGATCACTATCTGATACACAATGTTCTGTTTTGATTAAATCACTTCCAGCCAAGTCCTTCTCACTACTTTCTCGCGGTAAGAATGTTGTTTACAAAAGTTAGAGGATGAAAAGCGAATGTCCAGCTCTTTAACCTAGTTGATGGATATGGAGGATCTACCTAGGATAGTTGGAAAATCCTGGTTTCAGCTATCACAGCTCAGTAGCTAAGTGGATAATGCAATGGCATTTGAAGAGCATAGTAGTGGGTTAGAGTACCAGAGTGAAAATCAACTCCGAGGTGCAGAAACATCTAGCCGACAAGTCCCAAATAGGACGAAGCGGTGCGCATCCTGGATTCTAATGCTAGCCACTATCTATCTTTGCATGTACTATCTTTTATTTTACAAAAAAATTTCATATACAGAAATGTAAGATACAAAATGTAAAAATGTTATACTTACTATTGTGTAATAATCATATCTAGAGTTCATTCAAAGTATATCATGAATACATAGATTACGTAATCAATACACGTTACTGTATCACAATTTAACCGGAACAAGGTGATTACACTTTTTTAATGTTCTAATTTTAAATGATTTATAATTGATTGAATTATTAGATTTGTCAGTAATCAATGTTCAATGATCAATCTACATGAATGAGACTTTATCTACCTTAGATGAATATCTACAATAGGTTCCCTTCTATTGTCTATTCTACAGGACTTCAACACAACTCAGATCAAGAACATGTGATTTGTTTGACTGGAACTTAAATATACTTCCACACTAAAAACCTATAACGATCTGACAAAATCCAACAACAATAAACAATCAATAATAAGGATAGGAGAATATATAACTCATCTAACATTTGTCAGACTATCTACAAGTCTGACTAAGCGAACAAATAATCATTATTATCAAAAGTGGGGTTTGGTGGATATTATAGCAATTTCATTAGTTGAGATGATGAGTCAATTGAAGCTAGACCATCATGGAAAACCTGGAAGCATTGAACGACCATTTCGTCCTATTTTAGGATTCCTCAGAAGTGCGTACTCACGATCGCTCCTCGACAGATTCGGACCCAGGAACTATCAGTCTCGCACGCGAACGCTTAACCACTAGACCACTGAGCCGACCGCCATCCAACGGTGTTAATTTATAACTTCAACTAATTCACGAAATTGAACAACACATCCGCCGTTGTCTTCATTGAGTTACTATCTTAAAACAGACTCTGTTGAACTCCACTGATCACTGCTTTTCACGAGAACTCCATGAAATACCTCATGAAGCCAGTCATTATCATTCTTACTCACAAATCAGAAACATTCTCAAGATTGTTTAAATGTTGAATAAACAATTTAAATAGTTATATTTCTGATCGATATTCCGTTGAATGACTCTGACAAAGTAAAGTGAATGACATCTTATTTAAAGTAGATCTTATTAAATAAACCTCTTATGAAAAGCATCAATGTTTTAATGATAGATTCCATATAATCACTTTATTTCAGATTTAGGTAACATGTTATAGTTTAGCGAAACGATTAAAAATAAAGTATAAAAGATGGATATATATATATGTAATGAACGAGAAGACAGATGGAGATAACCATTGTATTTTCCAATACAGACTATAGAATATCTTCGTAAAATATGAGAACTATACATTAAATGCTTCAATTACAAACCTTCCTTCAATTATCCCTCCTATATATTGTATGATTTTTTTTCAAGTTACAATCCCTTTCTATTTTTATTTCTCTTTTCTTCATTTTAATCTTCTTAGTCTTCTGGCCACTTGCATACAACCACTTCCAGGGAAGTCCTACTCACAGCCTTCTCGCGACGGGGGTATTGTTTACAAAATTGAGAGGACAAAAAGCAAATGTCCGACGCTTTAACCGGGCTGGTGGACACGGAGAGTCCACCTAGGGGAGTTGGAAAACCCTGATTCAAAATCAATGGTGCACATGCGTTCCAGGATCCTGAGGTAACAAATGGTGTATGAACCAATTATTGGTCACCGGCTACCATGGGATTGTCTTCTTCTACCAATCTTTATGTGTTTAAATAAAATAAAATAAAAAGCCTTCTACTGACAGCTATTCAAGTTTTGATTAATGTTGCACACTGTTTATGTTGAAGTTAAACACTAACATTGTTGAATGCCGGCTCAGTGGTCTACAGGTTCCTCGTGAGGCAGGACCGTAGATGTGCATCGCTAATGAGTCTCATGCTAGGACGAAACGACAGTCCAGTGTTTTACGGTTTTCCATTGTGGTCTCGCTTTAATTGACTTATGAATCCAACTATTAAATTACTAATATCTCCACAAAACCTCCTTCTGATAATATATATGTTTACCTGAGGAAAATCTGAATGGTTTAAGGCTAAAATGTATCATTAATTGATCCGTGTGATTATGTATACTATACTCAATTTTTCTCTTATTTTCATAGCTTGATTTACGAATTTATCTTAGTTATGAAGCTAACGAAAACTGGGGAATACTGGATGGCTGTTTTGTCCTGGTATTGGACTTTTTAATAGTGTCATCAAAAGGTTTTTCTTATATATGTTTGCTCTATGTTGTGACGGCTTTTGAGAAGCACGATGGAGTTTCCAGAAGCTCTAAGGAGCCGAAGAGTTGCCACCCAATCAGAACCTGTTAGTGTTTTTTTAGAATATCAACGTTGTACGCTACGGTTGGACAGTCACATGACTTGCGTCCTTGTAGATTAGCTGAATTATAATCATGTTATAGCTGACGCTCATATCTATGAACAGCCATGATTTTTTGTACATTTTTGACTGTTACCTAATAATCACTTATCCCGTTCCTTCTGTCTTCTGATTTGTGACCGTTGGGGTTCTGCGAGTTCGAGCACCGTTAATTGTTTATCGTGTTCGGCGTTAGTCAAGTAAAAGACCTAACCCTCTACGAAGACTTTAGGAAATAGCGGGAGTTGGGATGAGTAACTACGTGTCATCTCCACTCTCATTTTGTCTAGGTAACTAATTCTCAATCTAACTCGGTTTAAAGGTTTACTGAGATTGTAATCTAATAGATTATAAAGGAGTTTAACTAATAATAAATACAGTTGGTAATTTCTTGGCGCTATCAGAAACAGAGCATGTTTAGTACGAAGTTATAGGACCATTTCATTTCGTTGAATGAAAGCATTTGTTGATTCAATAGCCTACGTTACTATCATGAAATGGTTTTCTGATAGATCCAACCATGTTGGTTAATGCTGATTATGTCGTTGCGGTTCGTAATGTTATATTTGTTGATGATGAGAGACGAATGACAATGTTCAGACAAGGTCCATTGTGCGTTAGATTCTAAATTTCAAAATTACTGAAAGTTTGTTTTAATCTCTAAATCGATTATTTCCTTTCGTATCATATGATTTATACCTGATACTTTCCACTATCTTGACAATTTCACCTCAATGTACTTGTATAGTGTGACAACTTGAGCCAAAAATTCGCCAGGTTTCTGAATTGTGTATACTCCACTTTGTTATTTACAGCTTGTGTTGAGCTTTGCACAACGTGACTTCTCTGCTATGATCACCTTTTGAAAATGATTATGTATCTCTGTTCACTTTTTAATTTCACATAGTTAATCACAACCAAGTTAGCACATTCATTCGTTTTTACTCAAACAATACAACATCACACAATATTTCATTTCTTATCTAACACTAATTAAACTCATTACTCCCGATCGTTGCTGCTACCTTGAGGTCGTGATCGGGCTTACCTATCGTGATGAAACAAACGAGCTATACTGGATGGAACAATTATTCCACAAGGTCCTACTATATCAAACAGGTCGGTTGAAGAGTGGTAAGACTAGAGGCAACAAACCCGAGGTCCGAAGGCGAAGTTGTACTGCTGACTGTTCAGATGTGTGACGACATTAAGGTATTTCTTTCTGACAACCAGCATAACAGTGATGTTGCCTTCCCACAAGGAAGGGTAGGGTTAGAAAAGGTCGACCCTAAAAATGCACACCTCGCCTTATCCCACAGATATCTGTCTCTGTCGGTAAGCTAACACGGAAATTACTCACAAAATGTTCGTATGTGACCGACCTCAAGCAGTTGTCCCTTGAGCACTGCGATCACACTCTCAGGTCACTAAGACCACTTCTAACCCAATTTCCTTTTCTGGTACCTCTAGAAGAACCCTTCCACGGTGTGGGCACCCGGGAAGTGATAACTGCCCGAATACCTCTTACAGCACTCAAGATCACTGTGTTTATAATCAATCTCTCTCTTCAATTCCTTTAAACTTATTACAAATGAGAGTAATTGGATGATCTATATTAGTAGTTACTCATATGTTAGTGACTTCTAATGTACTCAAACTGTGAATGCATTTTCATCGTCCTGAGAGATAATATATAATATGTAATATGTGGTTCGTAACATCATTCAAAAATTGCTAGAATAAACAAACATTGGAAATGATTATAAAAGAATTCAAACTACTTATATGTTCATTATCAGTAGTACACATTGTATAAAATGAAAAGATAGGACTTAGAATATGCAGTTAATCAACCATAAACAACTTCATGATTGATACTACTACTGAATCGCAAACCTCCCTGATGATGTGAATGTTTCGTGTTACTGTAAACATGTAAACATAAGGATGTTACTGTAAAGAATATTTTCTATTTATTATTTGTATGACTATATCAAATTTTAACAATTGAGGAAATGATATCATTCGATATTGATTCAAGTTCCTGTTCCCCTTGTTTCTAATCTCTATTAGATATAATCGGTCGATTATCATTTTTTAGTTGACTGGATGATCACGAATAAGTTATGTGAATGAGTCAGACAATCAGAAGCTGATTGACATTGGAATTCAAAGATTAGGAATAAAGTACGACAGAATAACATCATGAGTATTTGTGAGTAGTTACTTTATGTCATTCACAAATGTATGTTAGTTCAAAGACTTCATGAATGATAACAAGTGAACTGTTATTGGACAAAGTAAGTTGGTAATCATCATTTTTGGTAAACATGAACAATAACATGGAGGGTTAACTGTTCACTACTGATTAGAATGGTGTATCTTAAATATTAAACGAACTGATATTCCCTTCAAGTAATCTCATTCACTTCTCTTCCAAACAAAAATGAGAGAATTTAACAATCCTCTAAATGTACAGTGATTAACACCTTGTAAAACTTAAATGTTTACAATAATTCTCAACTGTTTATCTATCAATTTCATATAGTTTGACTGATAATGATTATCGAACTCCACCTGGGGTTCCTCTGGAGCTACTGTCAATCCCAAGCCCACAAAAAGAAGGAGGGTTGGACATGGGGTTAGCGACCCCACTCCGTAGAAAACTAACTCGCTTAAAAAAACACTAAACTGACAAAATAATTTAAACCATTTAAACTTTGTCCTGGAAGTTGGAAGGTCTTCATGGAGAAGAGTTATGACATCTCATGCTGAATGCCGAATTCCTTCGGAAGTCACGAGACCCCTTCTGATAACCAGAGTAACCATTTATCTAGGTACATGAAATGCTTGTATAATGTGAGAGACCGAGAGAGTTATCCAAGTTGCTGCCAAAATGAAAAAACACACACACACACACATCGAACCTGATAGATTGAACGATTTTCATACGAAAATATCGATGGTGAACTATTGATGAATTGAACATCAATATCCAATCCATAAATCTTTTTTTTTTATTTTTTAAAACTGAACTTCTGTCAAATACACTTTCATTCATTACAAAATACATTTTGTTGCTAAACAAGAAAAAAAAAGAAAAAAAGATTTTAATCACAAGTTTCATTAAAACACACACATATTGACATTGATCATTTGCATTGATCATTCATCTTGACATTTAATTGGATCATTTAGCACATAATCACATTGAATTGATCGAGTATATTAGTTTCTCTCTTTCTCTCTCTCTCTCTTTTTTCTTTTGTTTGGTTTTTCACTCATCATTAACAAGTAAGTTGTTAAAATTAATTAATCTAATGTTTAAATGAGTTACTATGCAGTAAAGTTTTGTAATTTCTTCAAAGTGTAAACTAAATGTAAATATGTGAATGATAAATATTTGTCAAGATATTGAGATTAGTGAATGGGTAATAAGAAATAGATTTTGTACAATTATATAATTGTCTCATGTCTATTGGACAAATCAAGAGCGGTAAAGTAGGAGGATCAGACAACATTCTAGTAGAAGTACTAAAAGTAGATGTAGAAGTAATGGCAAAGATATTCAACATTCTCTTCAACAAGATTTGAAATGAAGAACAAGTACTAACAGACTGGAAAGAAAGACATTTCATCAAGACATCAAAGAAAGACGATCTTAGCAAGTGTAACAACTACAAAGGCATCAATCTTCTCTCAATACCAGGAAACGTCTTCAATAGGGTATTGTTAAACAGAATGAAGGACTCCGTAGACGCCCAAATTCGAGACAAACAGGATGGATTCCGTAAGGATCGATAGTGTACAAACCAAATCACAACACTACAGATCATTGTGGAACAATCAATTGAATGGGATTCATTACTCTACATCAACTTCATTGACTACGACAAAGTATTTGACAGCATGGACAGGAAAGCACTATGGAAACTTCTTCGATACTACGGCGTACCTGAAAAGATAGTCAATATCATACGGAATTCCTATGATGGATTAAACTGCAAAGTCGTACATGAGGGGACAGGTCACAGACTCATTCGAAGTAAAGATATGTGTCAAACAAGGTTGCTTACTCTCACCCATTCTCTACCTGCTGGTAATCGACTGGATTATGAAGACGTCAACATCTGGGGGCGGGGGAGAAGTATTGGATACAGTGGACAGCTAGGATGCAGTTGGACGACCTTCGCAGATGATCTAGCTCTTCTGTCTCACACGCAAAAACAAATGTAGGAGAAGACGACCAGTGAAGCAACAGCCTAAGCAGCAGTAGGTCTCAACATACACAAAGTGCAAGGCAAGAATCTCTGATCCGTCACAGCGTGCACCAACCGAATCACAATTGACGGAGAAGATTTGGAAGATGTAAAACCTTCGCATATTTGGGCAACATCATTGATGAACATGGTGGACCTGATGTAGATGTGAAGGCGCTGGTTGGAAAAGCAAGAATAGCGTATCTACGATTGAAGAACATCTGGAACTCAGAACAATTGTTAATCAACACCATAGTCAGAATTTTCAATACAAATGTCAAAACAATTCTACTGTATGGAGTGAAAACCTGGAGAACTACGAAAGCCATCATTCAGAAGACACAAGGATTTTTTAACAGTTATCTATGCAAAATACTTCGGATCCGTTTACCAGACATAGACACTATCAGCAACAATCTATTGTGGGAGAGAACAAACCACATTCCAGCGAAGGAAGAAATCAGGGAGAAGTGGTGGAAGTGGATAGGATACACATTGAGGAAAGCACCCAACTGCGTCACAAGGCAAGACACCAAATGGAATGCTCAAGGCCAAAGTAGAAGAGGAAGACCAAAGAACACATTACACTGAGAAATGGAGAGAGACATGAGAAAAATGAACGAAAATAGGATAGAACTGGAAAGTAAGGCTCAGGACAGAATCGGCTGGAGAATGCTGGTCAGCGGCCTATGTTCCATTGGTGGTAAGAGGCATAAGTAGGTAAGTATTTAATATATTTGTCTATTGCAAATATAAGGAGTAATTTAATTAATTATCATCACTATCTCTACTCTTTTGAATTTTGGATTGTATGAACCCGCCTCAGAAGTGGTTGAGTCCACAACCATTTAGTCTTCTGGTGCGTATGATAATTCTTTAAAGCTAAGCTACAATTGCACCTACTATAGGCTTTTAGTACTTTATAGTCTCTGACTGATATCAGTTCATAATGAAAATGTATTTTAAGTTAAATCATTGAATAGGTTAACATCTTCAAGTTATCAGATGTCTTATTTTCCATTTTCTAGATGGATTGGATCTATCTCATTCGTGTTATATTTGGTTTATTTCTAATGAAACAACTCATCTCTCTTCTATACATCATATTCATTTATACAATTGGAAAGAGATTATTCTCTAAAAGGAAATTATTAAAACAAGCTGGTGAATGGGCAATTGTCACTGGTGCAACAGATGGAATTGGTAAAGTATATGCAGAAGAATTAGCTAATGATGGTTTAAAAATTATGTTGATTAGTAGAAATGAAGAGAAACTTTTGAATGTTGCTAATGAGATTGAACGTAATTATCATGTAGAGACAAGAATAGTAACAGCTGATTTCACAAAGGTAAGCCAGTATAGTGAGACTATAATTTATGGACCACCTTTGAGCGACACCAGACTGACATTGAGAGTGTCTACCTACATATCACGTCTAAATGAGGGTATATATATATATAGGTTAAGATGCTAATTAATTATAAAATCGTTACGATAGTCTTTATTTAGACATTATATGATCTTTTGAAATCGACATTTAAATCAATGACTATTCAATTGTACTAAGAATCTAAACGACTATGTGTATACCTTTCCGTAGGTTGTGTTATTATTATAACTACTTTATTCAATATTATATTTTTAGTACAAAATAGAATAGTCAGCACAAAATATTTCAAAAACATTTCCGTTTCTTATTTCTTGATCGATCCTGATGATAAATATTGGGTGATCGTCAGGTAGAAGTTAGTAGTCCAATCAATCGATATTTAACTCATGCAGGTTGTTTTAGCTGAATACTGCCAACAAGCACAATATATCTGATTGAGCCTTTTATAACTTGTACAACCTGAATAGGTTATGCGATGAATAGGTATAAAATAAGCAAAATTATATGATTTTAATTGTTGAGGTCATTAGTCAATTAAAGCTAGACCAACATGGTCTTGTATTCAAGATCGATATGTCCTCAGTTCGAATTTCGCGAGGCGAGATCGTGGATGGGCATTGCTCAGGAGTCCCATAATAGGACGAAACGTTTGTTCAATGCTTCCAGGCTTTCCATGGTGGTCTAGCTTCAATTGACTCATGATTTTAACTATTAAAATTATTATAATATCCACAAAAGCCCCGTCTAAAGTTAGATAACTTGCTGAAATATCTCGATGACTGGAAGAGGTAGCCTAGCCATTCAAACAGGCCGCCAAATTTCTACAATATATTTAATTTTTTTTAATGATAACTTAAGCAAAATAACTACTTATATCTGAATTCCATAAAGAAAATATCATCGAAATTGCATCGATAATGTAGGTATGTGTGAGTATTCTAAGTGATTAATTGAGTTTATTTGAATATTAAGAAAAAGTTTAGTACTGACCAGTCAGTCAGTTACATCGTAGGATCAGGCATATATATTCATCGGTCCAAGTAGCCATACCTCATTAGCACAACAAGATGAACACCGGATTCATATAAGTAGTTAATTCAGTGGTGGTTGATTGATTAATTGGGATCTATAATAATAGTTCTTTTGTATCTGAAAACATGATCGATGTATATATCTCGGGTATAATACAAAAAGCATAACCTATAATGTCATGGAATGAGATTGTTAAATTTTAAATAAGAAAGATTACTTCAGCGAAGAGTTCATTCTTTGCAGCAACATTCAGAATAGTATTGTTCAGCCAATCATTGCTCACTAATAATCTTAAAGTTAAATTATCGCATTTACCAATTTACCGGCTCATGTAGAGCTATGTATATAGGTTGTTCGATATGTACTTTATCTAAAAGAATTCAAGAACATTATCCGACGTGGCTAAGAAGAGGAAGAAATGACTTAATAAGAAGTTCAATAATCGAACACATTGTGAACACAGATCACTCAATCATGATACACTCTACGTCTTCTTTGCATTGACGAAGCAATAGCCATATCTTTCTTTATGTTATCTCACTGTTACCATGTCTAACAGAAGTTTATTATCATCCTGAGAAAAAAAGACATAAGTATATATTCATTTACGATTGTACGACTTTGAAAATGAATTCACCGAAAAGACAACTCTTCACTGAACTAATCTTTCTTATTTAATGTCTTCATGGGTATATCCCGTTTGTTAAATTTTACTCAAACTCTATCAGTAATATGTAGTCGATGATTTTTTTGTTGAAATCATTTAGTATAATAATGAAATTATGATTTGATTAATGGACTGTAATCAAAGAAGTATTGATTGAAAGTTCATAGAAGATTAGAGAGTTTGTTTAATGGATTAGAATTAAACTCATTGATAGAGTTATATCACGTTTAGAACGAGATCTTAGAATTTTATGGGATCTTTATTTAGATCAATTTCATAGTTTCTCAAATGGATTAGCATATGTATTACTATTAGTACAATGAACTACCTCTTTGCCTGCTGTATTACTTCTCAGGATGTATGCAGTTTACCTTGTAAATAAGTGTTCATATGTATTTGTTCCTAAATTTGTTGTTTATGTTTTCTATATGAACAAGAATCCTATCTAACTTGTAGGCGAGGTGATATAAAATAGTTGCATACTAATGAAAAACACTTGTGTATTACTCCCTATACTTAGTGATTGTCTCTCTAAGCTAATTTCAAACTAAAATATTTTTTATATCAGAAGGGGGTTTTGTGGATACTATAGTAATTTCATTCGTTGAGATCATGAGTCAATTGAAACTAGACCATCATGGAAAACCCTGAAAGCACTGAATGAAAGTTTCGTCCTATTGTCGGACTCCTCATCAGTGCGCATCTACGATCCCGCCTCGCGAGATTCAAACTCAGGACATATCGGTCTCACGCGAGAGCGATTAACGTCTAAACCATTGAGCTGGCCGGCATCCAACAGTGTTAATGTCTAACTTGAACTAATTCATGAAATTGAGCCACACATCCGCCATCATCTTCAATGAGTCACTATCTCACAACAGACCCAGTTGAACTCCACTGATCACTGCTTCTCACTAGAACTCTAGCTTCAATTGACTCATGATCTCAACCAACTGAAATTATTATATCCCACATTCAACAATTCACGTTTTGTTCTTTTCTTTAACACAGACTGATGTCTATCAAAGAATACAAGAAGCTATAGATCAGTTATCATCAATTGCTTGTTTAGTCAATAATGTTGGTATGGGTGTTCCTAAATTAGACTATTACGCAACAGCAGATTATATAACTATAGATTTTATTAAAAACATCGTTTTTTGTAATACTTTACCTATTGCTATGATGACCCATATAGTCTTACCGAAAATGTTAAAACAACCCACAAATGGGATGGCTATCATTAATATTGGATCACATTCTGGTTATAGACCATTTCCATTTTTATCATTATATTCAGCAACAAAATCATTTGTAAATCAATTATCTAGATCCATATCGAATGAGAACTATGATCATCGTATTCATATACAAACAGTTTGTCCAATGTTTGTATCTACAGCAATGAATGGTTATTGTAAAATGTCATTATTTGTACCAAATGCAAAAGACTATGGGAAATGTGCATTAGATATGTTAGGTGTTGAACAAGAAACATTTGGTTATATAGGGCATGCAATTAAAGAATATTTCACTAGTTTATTACCAAATTCAATTTGGAGATATTATATGTTATTTATGAAATCATGGTTTGACAAACATAAAAAACAATAAAAATATTATAATGTATATTTTTTTAGTTGCCATGGTGAATAACCATGAAAAATCGATAATTTCATATCAAAAAAAATTTGATTGATGTTTTTAAATCTTTAGTTTGTTTGTTTTTTTGTTTCCATTATGTAATAATCATACATTTGAAATCAATAATTAATTTCTATGATGATCACATTTTCTTAATTCTTATTAATCAATGCTGATTTTTCTATCGAATAAGTGTGATAATCGATCAATATTTATATGTTCATGATTTATAAAGAGGTTACAGATGGATTTTGTAGATATTTTAGTAATTTTTTAGTTGAATTCATAAGTCAAATGAAGTTAGATCATCATGGAAAATGTGAAAGCACTAGCACAGACGTTTCGTTCTAATATGAGACTCCTCAGCAGTGCGCATCCATGATGGCGCCCATGAGGTTTGAACGCCTAACTTCTGGACCACTGAGCCAGTATCCAACAGTGTTAATATCTAACTTCGACTAATCCACGAAATTACGCCACCGTAGGACTTGAGAATCATATACAAGAGTACCATAACATTAAACTTAAACATTGTCTAGTATTGAAATCTAGCAAGTTGTTTCTTCCTTATTTAGATTTCGTGAGCTAGACCCTAATGTTGGTGTTTACTCTGGGATTCGAGTCAAGTATGTTTTGATTAAAATGCTAGCTCGCTATCTAGTGAGTGCTATTGAGTCCGCATAACCAATCAGTTAAGGCAACATAAATGAATCTAATTTATAAGTGTTAATGTTTCTCCTTGTTGTAAATGTCAAGAACTGCAACTAAAATAGACCATTTGCTGTCATTGACATTAACTAGAGGAAAGATATATACGATTATAAGTTAAACACAATGAAACTATTGTCATCTGCTTTTTATGGCGGAAAAGAAGTCCACTTAAACTACAACTAATTTTAAAGAAATTTCAAATAACTAAGAGATTGAGGGTTGTGCACACCGTACATCCTGTTTCTGGTTACATATATACATAAACCAGAAAAGTTTATTCCATTAACTAAATTGAATTTGTTTAATTCTTTTCATTGGACTACTTCAGTACCACTTCAGTAAGTTGAAGATTGATGAATGATATTCAATCATCTTCTCATGAACTGAAAATCATTCAGATGAACGACAAATGACATAGAGAATGTATGCTATTGAACTGCAATACTATGATCTGACTATGATTCTATCTATCATGTATACACATTATTGAGAAGTGTCATATAACCTTTCAGTTTTCACTGATTTTCATTTAGGTGTCTAGCGGGATATAGTTCACAATTAGAAGTCGTATTGATTATTATACCTTTCAAATTTTTGTTTTCATAATATACATCAGCTTTTTAGCCCTTCGATCATCAAAACTCATAATGATGATCGAGGTGAATTTCATCGTCTTCTATGTTCGTTAACACTTTTAAGCACTTGATTAGTGTTGTATTCTGTGTATTATTATTGACACTAATAATACAAATAGCAGCTTTACTCAGAACTGTATGAAATCCTTAATAAAAGTAGAACATTATAATTATATGGTAGTTTTTATACAAAACATAAGTCTGGTATGAATTAGCAACAATGAACTGGATAAAAATAATCTTCTGCAGGAATTGTTTTACGAGTTCTATTCAAGAAACACAGTATTTCTAATATCATTATCATTAAAAGTAACACTCCCCTTTAAACCTTAACATTACTTCAAAGATATTTTATTCATAAATTAATCTACTGTAAAGAACTAGGAAGTACAATGGTATTTTAGAAAGTGTTCAAATGTATGACTGTTATCACAAAAGACAAAATTTGCATAAGAGTTAACTTACTTCCGTATCAGAAAAGGGGTTAAGTGGAGAGTATAGTAATTCAATAGTTGAATTCATAATTCGACTAAACCTAGACCACCATGGATAAAGTGGTAGCACTGGACGACCGTTTCGTCTTAGTATGAAACTCCTCAGCATTGCATATCCACCCCAGAAGGCCCTGGGTTCGAGCCCTGAGAGTGGGATAGTGGATGTGCACTACTGAGGTGTCCTATACTAGGACGAAACGGTCGTCCAGAGCTTTCAGGTTTTCCATGGTGGTGGAGGAAATACTAAAGCAGTTTGTCAAATTTCTGTTACCAATTCGATCTTACACTGATAGCCAAGGAAGCAAAAGTGATTGTGCAAACTTATTTTATACGCACAAGTTTGGTTTGCAAACATGGATTCTAATGGCTTCAATGTGCAAAAAGCGAACTCGTAAACGATGCGACAAATTTGATGGAATATGGTGGATAACCCTAAAATCTTTATTCAATTCCACTTATCAAGTGAACGAGAAGAGAACTCGTTATCACTCTTAATTGTCTTTTATTCAACGAAAACGGATGATGTTTTGTTATTCGATGATAGACTTATCGAATTGTACACGGTATGAAACTGGCTCTACAGGAGCAGTTGAATTGGTGAGTACACATAGATATAAAAATTTAGGCAGTGTTTTTATAACCGTTTTTATTATGGGGTGTTTGTAAAAGACAGTACTTAGTCTGGCTGCGTAAAATGCTTTTTGTACAGCCTTTATTAACTTTTGAGTCATAATTTCTTCAGTAGCATCATTTAGGAATTTCAATTTTAAGAATATCACTTTTTTCTGAATGGCAGGTACAATTATAGATTGTAGCCTGCAGTGAAATCCAGGACTCGCGTTTCGTCCTATTTCGGACTCGTCAGCTGGATGTGCCTGCATCTCAGAGTTGATGTTCACTTTGAGACTCGAACTCAGTACCGTTCGCTTCAAACGCCATCACATTATCCACTTAGCTACTGAGTTCTGATAGCCATCTAATTGTACACTGGGGTGAAGTTTAAATTCACTTGGTGTTGCTTTACTTGTATCTTCCCATTATTATTTAGGACTACAACTGACCAGTCTCTTGTTGACATATGTGCATCTTGTGCGAATTCCCTCGATATAGACATTGCTAGCCACTATCCATCTTTACTTAAAAAGCTTGTGACTTACAACTATAGCGAGTCGATCCGCATAGGATGCACATATGCCAACAACAGACTGATCAATTATAGACCTAAATAACAATGGGAAGATACAAGTAAAACAACACCATATAAATTTAGATAAGTACAATTGTCCTTCTTTTTATCTCCGTCATATAGTTGTCAATGAATTTCATTATGTATTCATTCCTACTAAGCAAGTTACCAATATTAACCATAATGTCATCCAAGCAAATCATTCTAGCATGATGAATTAAGATCTGATTGATACTTCACTAAAGAAATAAGTCATAATGATAAACTCATTGAAACAACAACAAAAAAAGATAAAGAATTATTTACCCATTAATATAATTTGATTGGTTAATTATTATACACCAATAAATTTCCATGGTTATCGCCCAATTTTATTGATTTTTTTTCATTAAATTAAAAAGAAAATATTATTTATTCAATCATTATTTAATTAATCATTAGTTTCATGACAACTACAACAACAGTATCTAACTTATTTCATTTAAACATTACTTTATAAAGTTCCCCTAGCTCCTTACTGTTCTACAATCCCCCCCCCTCCAAGAAAAAGAAACACGATTATAATGCAATCTAAACAAAATTCATTTCATAAAAAACATCCATCATTTGTAAAATCAACTGAAGAATTTGAAAAACTTTTATTACAATGTCCATTTATGTCAATAATTCATTCATCAAAAATCAATAAAAATAAATTACATAATAAAATTAATAAAAAATCAATAACTGATAAACAAGATCAATCAATCAAATCTAATGATATTATATTCAATAATCAATTATCTATTATATCAAATGAAAATTGTATAGAGATAAATCAATCTAAAGGTTTGTTTATGTAAAATATTGTATTATTCCTTAATAAAAAAAAGAATGTAATCTATGAATATATCAGTATCATATATATAGTTCCCTTTTCTTATCTTAAAGAGAGTAAACAATAAAGATTGATGCAGAATAATAAATGGATTCATTTTATGCTGCTAGGTTCTGCTTACCTTGCTTACTCCTGGAGTTCTAGTGAGAAGTCGTTACCAGTGGAGTTCAATCAGGTCTGTTGTGAGATAGTAACTCACTGAAGACAATAGTGTACGGTGGCTCAACTTCGTGGATTTGTTGAAGTTAGACATTAACACCGTTGGATGCTGGCTCAGTGGTCTAATTGGTTAAACGCCTGGCGCGAGACTGATAGGTTCTGGTTTCGAATCTCGCGGTGTGCAGGATCGTGGATGCGCACTGCTGAGGATTCCCATACTAGGATGAAACAGCCGTCTAGTGCTTCAAGGTTTTCCATAGTAGTCTAGCTTCAATTGACTCATGATTTCAACAAGTGAAATACCAATCAAATATTCGACAATCAATTTTATTACAGATATTGATATACTTATACATAAGTAAAAGGGTGATTAAAGATGAATTTATGTGTATCATGATATAGCGAAGATTCCGATAGAGTTAATATGGAGGTTATTACTGTCTCTTTTGTAATAAATCTTTCTTTAACCCTGGTAACATTAATTCCTCCTATTTTTATTTATTACATCATTCATTATTTCAACTCTTTCTGAAGTTTAAATTACATCATTGTCATTTTTTTAAAATTTCAATTTATATCTTCCTATCTATCTGGATTAATTGAAGTTAGACATTAAAACCGTTGGATGCCGGCCAGCTCAGTGGTCTAGTTGGTTAAGCGCCTGAAGCGAGACCGATAGGTCCTGGTTTCGAATCTCGCAGTGTGCAGGATCGTGGATGCGCACTGCTGGGCAGTCCCGCAATAGGACGAGACGGCCGCCCAGTCCTTCCAGGTTTTCCATAGTGGTCTAGCTTCAATTGACTCATGATCTTAACTGTTTAGATTACTACAATCTCTACAAAACCCCTTCTGATATTTCTTTATTATCATTAATTTATTTTCAGTCACCTCATTACATAATCATCTAA